GGAAGAGGTTCCTCACTTCATTTTTGTTATACTTCCTGACTTCAGTGAGCATTTAAATGTAAGGGCAAAATTTGAAACTGCCGTTTTTAAGGAATAGTTTTGTTTTGCCCATTCCCTCTGTATGTGTCCTTGGACTTGGTCTCTCTGCTCTAAAGACATGCCCATCCACCAATAGTGTTCGAATCGAGGCAGACGTCCCATGGCAGGAGCTGGCCGGGGAGCAGACACCTGCATTGGGATGGTTCTCTCCACACAGAGCAGGCTTCCACTTCCTACTCTCCATGCCCCCGAGCCCCCACACATCTAACTGATGTTTGCCTTTGCTCAGACGCAGTTCCTGAGCGAGATAAAGAAACTTGTGCCCTGAGAGTCCAAGCGGGTGAGAGATAAGGCAGCAGGGCGGGCTCTCGTCTGCTGTTCACTGGAAGGGGATTTCAGGCCGAGTGTCAAGGACGGCTCTGGAGGTTAAGCCAATTCCTGGGGTCACCATTGTGAAGGTGTGTCTGACACGGTGGGGATCGTATCCACCTTATGACATCCAAAGGGAGAAGGTGGGGACATTTGCTCCTGAGCACGAAGGGGAGTTGTTGAGGGGGACATTTGCTCCTGAGCACGAAGGGGAGGTCTTGAGAGGGGCACAGCAGAGCGAGGAACAGGAGGAAAGCATTCTTCAATGAGAATTTGTTTAATTAAACGCTTTTTATTTCACAAAATAAAAAACATTGACTGATTTAGATGTCATCCCAAACTTCTATTCTAAAATAAAGTGTGCATTTTTTCACAAGGAGATTTTATGTAAAACATTTTTAAAGACCCCCCCATTATACCATACAATACCATTATATTGGTATGTGTATATACACACACATATACCAATATAATAGAGATCTCAGCTTTGTGAGGAGGTCAGTGGGTATTATTGGGTCATTGGAAAAGTCATGAGTCATTTTTGCATAGAAAAAAAAAGAAAAATATATCATGACTTTTCTGATGACTCTCTCTCTTTATATATATGTATATATATAAATATATTTATATAGATGTGTGTGTATATATATATATAAACCATATGAAAATTTCAGCCATTGACTTTTTGAGATCTATGAAAACATTAAGCTCAAATGGCTCAATCTCACCCTTACTTGAAAAGTAGGAGGGAAAATAGAGTTAAAGAATGAGTTTCTTTTAGTGCAAAAAAGTTTGAAATCCATGCATAGTTTTTTTCATAGTATGCATTTTCTAAGAACTTTTTGAAAACCTCCTTCTAGGTAGCATAATCAATAAACGTCTGATAATATGTGAAATAAGCAAAAAATTCAGCCGAGAGGAAAAGAACAAGAGAGTTTTCTAGTTTAAGAACAACTCCCCAAGAAACAAAATCAATGATAGCTACCACATTTGAATAAATATCAAAATTCTTCTTAAACGAAAACAAAGGAGGGAAAACAAAGGAGGAAAAACGCAAACAAGTCAGGCTTGTACACATTCAGTGTTAAAGGAGTGAGCTTGAAATCCGTATCTCCCTTCCAAAAAACTCCCCTTGGCAGAAGCTGCCCCACAGAGGACTAACTGCCACAAGGGGATGTGGAACTAACACGGTGGGACGGCAGGTCTCCCTTGCGGGTGAGCAGAGGACAGACACCCCGGATGGGACCGGGCTCAGACAAAGGCTCCGGTCCGGTGGGAACAGGTACAGACGGACGGTCTGTTAAACATTGCCAGCACACAAGCGGTGCCATTCCGCGGTCGGAGCCGGGGTAATGGTCACAGGGGCATTGTGTCGCAGTGTGTTGGTTAATTTCAGCCCGGCCAGAGCTGTTGCTTATCTTTGTTGGTTTTGCAAAGATTAAGGCAGTTTCTCTGCTTTGAATGCAACACAGCTGCCCGGCGAAGCATTCCTGAAGTTTTGTCTGAATTCCCGCTGCTCAGAGGGGCCAAGCAGAGGCCGGCACCTGCAAAGACTTGTCTTGGCTATAACTGAAGTTGATTCTCCTCAACCGAGATTTGGGACACTCTTGACTCCTCGGCAAAACGCCGCAGGGTGGCAGTGGCCTTCTCAGGGAACCCTTCCCCATGGGGTTCACTGTAGCTTCTGTGGATTTATGTTTCTTCGATTTATATTTCCTATTAGGATTGATTCCCTGGCTACTTTTGCGGAACAGGGTAAACACCGTCGTAAATTCCATCCGGTGAATCATGGGGAGGCTGTGGTTCAAATTAAACGTGTTTGCTTTCGGAAGGGGGCCCTTGGCTTCTTATCTTTATGTACAGAAGAAAAATAGAACTCCACCTGGTCTCGGCAGCCAATGGGAACGCACCTGCCCGGTCAGCTGTACAGGCCAGTCCCTGCTGCCCTGGGCTCCCACCAGGGTTGTTTGCAGACAAAGGGAGAGGGGACATGGGGCAATACAGAGGGACCTGGATCCCGAGTTTTGCCTATAGGCCCCAAGCAAAGTAGGGGTTCCAGCCTACTTAGGAATAAGTGATGCCCCATAAGGAAGTGTTTCTCACAGGTCAGCTGTCTTTATCTTTGTGGGTGGTGCCGGCTACGACCTCATCGCATAAGTGCTGCATTTACCATAGGCAGCTCCTCAGCCTGAATTAGATCATTTCCAGCTCAACAACTAAGAAATAGTGCCCACCACATAAACCCTAAAATTACCCTTTTTAATTTTTTACTTTTTATGCAGAGAGAGGTTTTTTGCTATAGAACAGGTGCGCTCACCAGAGAGCTAGAGAAAGAAAGAAAGTGAGAAATCACCCCCGGGGGGGATGGCCACACTGCAGTTCCTTCTCCCCCATTCTCGTCTTGAGATCTTGGGCACGCACGCGCACACCTGGCATGAGTTTTAAGCCATCAAGTCTGGGATTTGAACTAAGGTTAGTTACATGGGAGTCCAGCGACATAATCGTTATACCATTATGCCCCCAAAATTAGCCCTTTTGATTACATCTAGAGAAGTAAAGGAGAAGCCAAGAAAATTTGGTTTCTTTCTCTCCTCTCCCTGACACTTTCACATGCTCACCTTTTTTTATTTTTTATTTTTGGAAAGAGATTTTTGCTATAGGGAATGCATACTTGCCAGAGAAATGGGGAGAGAAAAAATGAGAAATCATCCCCTCCCCAGAAGGATAG